ATTTGTTTGTAAACTACGCACAAGGTTTTGTATGTATTTTTGGTCCCCAGGGAGATGTCACTAGACGTACTTTTAAATATCTTTTTTTCGGGCTTTTGTACATCTCCTGGCAGGATCGCCACTTATATTTTGACCCGTTCGAGTAAAGTTTTTAAAAAGGAAACTATTCGATCCTTGCCTCAACTGAGCTAAGTTAGAGCGACAGAATGACTGCATAACCGACTAAAGCCATATCTTTATTGATATCCCTTTTATACAATATTTCACTTCAGTCTAGATATAGATTAAATTCTAGGAATTGCAAAGCTAGGTGCTAGATGGTGTGCTTTTGCTTCTATTAATATATCTTAATTCTACGAAAAGCCGACCATAGGTGTTAGGTTATGGCCGCTTCCTGATTGTGAATGTGCCAACAATATATTTGACACATTTGCCTAAGTGATTCAATCAAGTTACAATTGGTTACATAACTGGTAAGTATTAGAAATGAACTGTGGAGTTGTCTTCCGTGCGCTACCTATTAGCTAACGTATCATTGACATATTTGACACATGTGCCTAAGTGGCTCACTGAAGGTTTACTTGTTTACTTACCGGGTAAGTACTAGGGGTGAGTGGTGACGTTAACTTGCACACCTTGTTAACTCTTGTTGCTAATTCATTTCCTTATTCAACCTACTACTACCAAGTGCAGCTGATTTGCCGCTATTTAAACTTGAGCACGTGGTTGTTATTGTCAATTCTATATACTTATTTTCTTCATTGTATAGTTTCAGGCAGGCTCTTCTTAAACAATGACTTTTCAATGTTGTTTACGCATTGACGAGCTTGTGGGTTTTGGTTTTCAATATATGTTTGTACGTTTAATTCAATTTTAAATCTTAAGCCTAATTAACAATAATGAATATGTGAGTATGTGAACGCGAGTGTGGAAATTAATGTGAATGAATGAAAATATATTTGTACGTATGTGTATACAAACGGAATAAGAAACGTAAATTACAAGACTATGCAAAGTTTTAGGTTATACAAGACTTCAAGTTGTACAAGATTTCAAGTTAACATAAAGATGTAACCGCAAGTTACAAATCAAATAGTAGATTACAATAAAGCAAATGAATTTCAAAAAATATGAGTTGGTAAGGTCAAGTTACGCTGGTGGTGATACTTCCCGCGTTGATGTGTTGCAAAACGGCCAGGAGATCCTTGTGGATTGTAGTTCCGATGAAAGTCCTCGATCGGTAAAGGCGCTTGGCAAAAAGAGGTAGATGGCAATGTGGCGGCTGCCTTTAT